CACACAGGAAGCGTATCCGACGTCTCCCTCTTCCGTTAAGGTCTGGGCGACCGTGAGTGGAACTCTGTTACCCACTCTGAACACGCTGTTCTCAGTGTTCATGACCGCTGCAGCTGTCTGCGGAACTAAGTTACCCGCCTGTGGACCTAAGTTACCCACTTGGCCAGCGCCTTTTCTGGGCGCGGTCATCATCAAAACATCCTCGGAGTCGTCATATACGTCGACGACTCCCAAGCACCTGCCGGATGCTTTGGTACCCTGGCAGCCCTTGCGGGCGCCCCGGGTCCTGACAGAGGTGGGAACATGACTCACCAATGCTCTGTCGGACTGCACAGGGTGGCTAGCACCGATTGCCTTGCCTCGCCAGTAGATCCAGGGCTCGTGCTTCTCAAGCCAGGGCATACCCAGGATCATATCATATGGATCCATATCGAGAATAGTGAACTGTTCGAGGCTGTCAAATTCTTCAAACTTGACGGCCAGATTCACTTGGACGTTGGGGACAGTGACGACCTTCCCGTCGGCCAGTTGCACTGACACCGTCCCGTTGCCCTTGCTTTCTCTCAAAGCATCGGACAGCTTGTTGCTGGTACGAGCAAAAGTCTGGCGGCGTGCGAAATTCTTCGACGCCCCAGAATCGATCAAGATTCTAGAGGGATGATCGTATCCCCGTACGCATCCGTGTACTACGAGCAGCCCGCCGCTGTTCTTCGCCGATTCGAGAGTGCGAAAACTCTCAGGGGCTAAGTTCCCGTGGTACGCGCCACCCGCGCTTTCATCACGAAGACTTAGTTCTTCCCCAGTAGGGCGCCCCGCCCCTACTGGTTCCCGGCGTTCCCCTGGATCCTGGCTCCTGCCAGCGACCCTTGAGAGCGGGCTTGGAGAAGGACCGTCTGCGGAGTCTTTCCGCGGGACTGTCGCGCTTGAAGTGACCCATCTTCCCGCAGCCGAAGCAGCGGCTATCCCGCTGATCGGTGGACCCGAGCTCCATAGGAACTGGTCCGTTGGAGCTTGTTCGACCGGGGGCCGACAAGGCACTCCCAGGCCACGCTGAGGCCGGCGTACGCGCCTGGCGATGGCGGTACGCTTCTTGAAGAGCCACTTGAGTCGCCTCTTCAAGGGTGCTTGACTGCACCCGGAACAGGTGAGTGCGTGCGGGGCCGTCCATGAACACAGTCATCTGGATGTGTTCGATGAGTGGTTTCCCACTAGGGACACGGTGAGGCCCCGTATCTCTTGCACATACTCGTGCAGTTCGCGCCTTTCTTGTTTACACGAGAGGAAGCGCGAACGCTGGCGGTACTCGAAGCTCGCCGTAAGGAACGCGGCTCGGAGCTGTTCACAAAGCTGAGCCCAAGCAATATCCCCTGGATGTTTCACATCCAGGGGATATTGCTTCCCCGTGTGTACACCCAACTCTTAGCACGGCCACTAAGGTTGGAGAGTGCAAAAGCAACACGAAGTTGCTCGGGTCGAGATCAGAGCCGCGTCCATCGCGAGCTCTACTTCTCGGACCCAGAAGTGAAGATTCTCGCCTTCCTTCCCTTCGTACTGCTTAACCTTCAGCTGTATTGGCTGCGGGTGAGGCGGATTTGCTTCCGCCGCCGGAGCCTGTAGGTTCTCCCGCACATGCGCGATGAGGCCCTGCTCGTACGCTTCGAACGCATTGACGCGCTCGATCTGCTCGGCCGATGTTGACACCACCAGGCTCTGCAGGGCCTCCATCCCGACGATGCCTGCCACCTTCCGAACCGACTCGAACTGAGAGTCATTCATATGGGAGAAGTCGCTCCTATCCGTGGCAATGAACTTCGAAGAGGTTCAGGTAGTCTACCCGCGGTGGCGTGGATTGACTACGAGTGCTACCAAGTGTGACGGGGTCACACAGCACCTTGCGCTAGAGGAAGTTATCTTCCGAGAGTATACAAACTCTCAGTGAACGGCAGCTCACAGGTCCCCTCTTTATTCAAAAGAAAGCGAAGTAACCTAATTAAGGTAGAATGTAAACTGAGTATATTTATAGGTAGATAAAGCTTGGTTTAATACAAACTATATGCCACCTATAGAAATGCAATGTGGTTAGCCGTTGGTTGGCTTTGAACGACCTTGGTACTTTGTACCAAATATCCCGAAGTATGACGTGTCACACTTCATGTAACCAGGGTACACTTAGGGCTACGTACCCCGTTACAGATACACTTACCTCTTGCAATATCAACTCAATGAGCTGGATGGATCATATATACTTAACAATTTCTTCTTTAAGTCCAGTGAAGACCGTGAATCATTTGAAAAAGCGAACGTTGAATGCGGTGTGGAATACTGCATTGCAACTAAATCCTACGATAAGCGATTGTATAGATTATGCATGATGATTCACAATATTTGGTCAGCAACAACCAAAACGTGTGGCTGGATTCTTTGCTCGTCAACCTCATTCTAATTGGTACTTGATGCGCAAGACCTATCTATGTGTAATCAAACAACAAGTAATGCGTTTCAACAAGGAGTGTGCTAATAAAGATATCGATGATTGGTTTGATTCCAAGTATAATCCATCACTGAACGAAGGCAAATTGATAGGGCTTGCTGCTGGTTGTAGTTTGCTGCATACAAGCAATGGAAATATAAATATGAAATCAAGGAGTCAAGGAAATTTCCACTTCGAAGACGTTTGAGCTTTCCACACCTGATCATGATTTCGAATTGACATTCAAATCTGAGCGGAAGTTGGCAGCACTAACTCAACTGGTGGATTAACTGGCCGAACTATTACACGACATGCGTTCAGCCATGGTTGATACATCATTTGAGATCGATGAGCTTGAATATTGGGCGGAGAAGTATCTAGTGATCGAGAACAAGCCCAACCGTGACTTTGATTTAAATTTCTGTACTTTCGAGAAGATGTTGAAAACTACTAGCTTCGAGTCTCTTCATGTGCTTAAACGATTTGTACTCTACTTCATTCACGAGTTCTACGTCTTTGAAGGAACCGATATCACCTACTACAAGCATAAGCCAATGGAGGACGATAATTTTGTGATCAAGGCATATGATCCAAAGAACTGCTTCAAGGTGCAAATTAAGTTCATTGAAAACAAGAAGCCACGTTCCATCAAGCTGTCGGACCTTCTCAATACGGCTCCATTCCACAAGCTTGCAAATACGGTCTGCAAATGGGAACATGATCCAAATGGCATGGAGACATTCAGCTTAGCAAATCCACTACTGGCGAAGGATTTGCACGAACAAATTACCGAATCTGACTTGCACCCAGTGGTAATTGATTACCTGAAACGTATCGTTTGCTTCAATCATCCTGAAAGGTACCAGTGGTTGATGGAGTATATTGGTAGCCTTTGTCACTATCCAGACAACAAGAAGAAGGTTATGCTCGTGTTATATTCAATGGAGAAGCAAATTGGGAAGTCTAATTTCTTCAAGCTCCTCACTAGTCCTCTAAGAACAGCAAATACTCACATGACTCAGCGTCTTAATGTCTTTAGCGAGCGTGGATCGCCGCAACTTCGACATAAAAAAATTGTGCTGGTTTGAGGAAATTGCTGGCGATAAGCGCTCGTTTCGTAATTGTCTTGAGCGAAGGAAGTCTGCTATCACCGAGTCCGTACAATCTAGTCGAAAGCTCTACCATGAAGAAGAAGTACATAGCAACATCACTGAATTATTGGTGCTTCCAACAACTTGATTGGCATCGTCGAAGACAAGATGACAATTTTCGATGTAAATCCGGTGGAACAGCACAACAAGGTCTATTATGGAAAGCTGATTGATGATGTGATCAAAATGTGAATGAGATGAGCAAATTCGACACATATTTGAAGCGGTTTATCAACCCCAAGCCAAAATCCTTCTTCCGATTTTCTAGATATGATTCTATGACAACTGCTAGCCATGAGAGCATTGCCAACTATGTCAATGAACTTAATGAATCGGGACTAAATGAAATCGTACACAGTGAGTCGAAAGGCCTATATTGCGTGGAGAGAGATATTATGTATCAGCATTATCAAAGGTGGCGTGACATCTTGTAAAGTCCCTGATAAGCGATCAAAATTTTGTGAGAAGATATCGACGTTGGACAAGCGTATCACATTCAAGCGATACAAAGAAAGTGGAGCCACGCCTTATAAATTCTTCTTTCCTATTGACTTTAACCAAGTCGAAAGCTTGCCGAGGCAGCAATACGACGATTGCGACGAGGTTGAGTCATGCCAGCCCCAGTTAATTGCTTTACTCCTTTACGGATTTCGTGACTGAATCCACCGGTTTCTGGTGCGGTGATATCAGCAACTGTATCCATTACAGAGCCTGCAAATGGTTTCCAATTATTTTTCAAACCCCCCCAAATTGATTTTCCGGCTTCTTTCACGCCATTCCATAAATCTCCCCAAAGATCTACTTCCATCGAGTCCAGATTGATGCGTACGTAAACCTTCACCGTGAGTCATATGTAAAGTCGTTCCTTTACCAGATTCATTCGCTTTGACAAGCTTCTTGTACTTTTCGGGTCCAATATAGTGGGTAGGACCAGCATTAAGCTGAGCATGCATACAAAACCTTTAAGGCCTGCGCGTGGCTAAGGCTGACACGAAACTCTTTATACGTCTTAGCAGATTTCGAAGCAATCGCGTTAGCTGCGATCACTTATATATAAGCACGAAATAAACAACATGTCAAAGCTTAAATCCAAAACTCAGAATCTAGATGAACTAAAACAAATAATTATTCGGGATCTCGAAATGAGCAATGACAGGCTATCCAAAGCCACAATGAACCTGCGATTGTTCAAATCGGGGAAGGAGACCATGCAATGGGATCCTAAGGAATTTATTGCTCGTATTCAATATCCCAACAAACAGGACGATGCAAATTTTCAGAAAGTGTATGGTGTTCAGAGCTCTGACATGATTGCTGAATTGATACGTCTTTACAAAAGCAAAGAGAGTCTTATCCTAACTTTGAATGCACTTTGCAAGATGGTGAAGAATCGATTTCCTGACGCGTTTCAATACTATAACGCAGTGAGAAAGGTACTTAACAAGCAGAATAAGGAGGAAAAATTGGATAATGAGCTCACGCCTGAAGAAAAGAAGAAATACATTAGCTACCAAGAATTGATAGCAGTTCCACAAAAAGTCAAGAAGATTATCATGGATACATATGGCGAAATGTTCCTATCAAACAATGAGCTAAGCAAACTTACCAAAGCGAAACGAATTGATAATCTACGCCTTATTTTTGACTATGTCACACTATATCTCAATGTCAATTATTCTCTGCGTCTCATATGGCCCTCAGTCTATCTGAAGAAAGTTGATGGTGGTAACTACCTCCAAGGAACGAAGCTCCACTCGAATCATTTAAGAACGTTCGCCTCATGGGTGCGCAAATTATTGATCTAGATGGAACAACGAACAATCTTATTGCTAACTTTCTTCATTTTCTTTCAGGCTCTCTCGGGCAAACACCAACATATCTACTTTAGCGTGTTTACAACAATAGTCCAGGCGAATATGACAGTAATAATGGATTCAGCTCAGCTCTCTCAAAGCTCTTCGTAAAATACAATGGAAAGCCAATGAGCATGAGCATGATCCATCACATTGTCGAATCATATCTGATCCAATCACCAACATGTGCGAAGTTTACTAATAGAGAAAAATATGACCTTCACGCTAAGCTACTCCATAGCCCGTTTGCTGCCAATACTAGCTACAACAAGATTGCAAACAGATCCACGGCATCAGAGGTCAGCGAGGAAGCTCCTGACTTCTCATATGAGCCAGCGCCTCAACCTCCATCACCTGCTAAGCCGCAAACACGCTCTAAAGCTCGTAGAGAACGCATATTTCATGGAAATTTCACTCCAACAGGCAGTGATAAATCACTTGAAATTAAAATCGAGAAGTAATATGAATACACCCAATATAAAAAGCAAATCACATCCAAATGACGTCCAAACGGGGTCCACATGTTATGATTTTCAATGGATTGCACGCGCGTCTACGAAGCGGAAAAACACTTGTAAATCTGAAGACTATGCTCGTCGCTCATGCGTTCGTTGATTTATGGCACCTGATTGAAGATGAGCAGAGCTTCGACAAGCATCTCTTAAGTCTTCTCGACGAGCCTGAGCAAGACGTTATGAGAAATTGCTTGAGCGAATGTCATATCAAGTCACGAGAATTTGATCCGGCTTACAATGAGCAACTGGGTGGTGTAGTAAAACGCTTGAAAATGCTACAAGGAGCTACAGCTATTGGAGATGATAATCCAGGCATTAAAAGGAAATGAAGCAACTTCTTGACAAGCTGTATGAGAAAGGAGTATTTTCAGCAAATTATTATACCCAATTCAAGCGGATGATGCAGCTCTCTTAGAGTCACGCTTGAAGGTGAGTAGCTTACTCGTATCAATGTATTTGGGCTTCTTTGCCTTTTTTGCTCCTTGGCGAGTTGGCTAACACTTACCTTATCCAGTTGCTTCGTCAGAGTCTCAATGTTTGTGGAGCCATGGTCTGTCTTGGAGGGTCCAAGCGGCTTGACAGTTCCGCAGGTGACACCATCACCGTCAATATCCATTGGTTGTGGCATCATCTCCCTGCGAATTCTTTTACGTCGATGCAATTTCTTCACTTGTGTATATATAAGCAAATCAAAATGTCATTTCCAGTTTTGTTGAACGTCAACAATCAAAACAACTTGTATCTGACCAACAACACGACCGGTGAATACTACTACTTCGTCTCGTGTGCTGAGAATCCATTCGCGTATGCGATTCAGCTCATGATACTGTATGTAAAGAATGTCACTGGATACACAGCAGCAAGCGGCTTCCCAACAATGCTAGCCACTGCATACAGTCCTCAGCTTCAAATTGATAACTCTAGATTTGGAGCTATCGTTGGGCTATCCAATGGTGTCTATCCTGCTGCTCAAACTACGAGCGCTTACGCCATCAATAGCAACGCCACACCTCCTGTCGCTGCTGTAATTCTAGGGCTGTCTGATCTTTATAACCCAATTGCAAGCAACAATCAAGTTCTCCACACCTTCACAAGCGCTGAAGTAGGATTCGGCGGACTTATTACCACGTCACAAGGTAAAGGTATTGCATATTGGCCGATGCAAGGAACCAATAACGAGATCACGTTGAGCTTCTATGATCAAGACATGCGTCCGTTGCAGATTATCGATCCTAACGTGTGTATTCGTTTGCCAATGAGACAAAAAAATATGACTCGACGATGTGATTACCTTTCGCAGATATACTCGATGACATTGCGATAGATCTTGCTTTCGATGATGTCCATTAACATAGTGCTCATCTTCTCAGATGTTACTCGCTTCTAGAGATCAATAAATTCTTTGACTGGCATATCACTTGGAAAGTCGCGGCAAATAATTGCAAGATCTCGTTGGGTCAAATTACATATTTGGGCTTCTTTGCCTTTTTTGCTCCTTGGCGAGTTGGCTAACACTTACCTTATCCAGTTGCTTCGTCAGAGTCTCAATGTTTGTGGAGCCATGGTCTGTCTTGGAGGGTCCAAGCGGCTTGACAGTTCCGCAGGTGACACCATCACCGTCAATATCCATTGGTTGTGGCATCATCTCCCTGCGAATTCTTTTACGTCGATGCAATTTCTTCACTTGTGTATATATAAGCAAATCAAAATGTCATTTCCAGTTTTGTTGAACGTCAACAATCAAAACAACTTGTATCTGACCAACAACACGACCGGTGAATACTACTACTTCGTCTCGTGTGCTGAGAATCCATTCGCGTATGCGATTCAGCTCATGATACTGTATGTAAAGAATGTCACTGGATACACAGCAGCAAGCGGCTTCCCAACAATGCTAGCCACTGCATACAGTCATCAGCTTCAAATTGATAACTCTAGATTTGGAGCTATCGTTGGGCTATCCAATGGTGTATATCCTGCTGCTCAAACTACGAGCGCTTACGCCATCAATAGCAACGTCACGCCTTCTGTCGCTGCTGTAATTCTAGGGCTGTCTAATCTTTATAGCCCAATTGCAAGCAACAATCAAGTTCTCCACACCTCCACAAGCGCTGAAGTAGGATTCGGCGGACTTATTATAACATGTCACAAGGTCAAGGTATTGCATATTGGCCGATGCAAGGAACCAATAACGAGATCACGTTGAGCTTCTATGATCAAGACATGCGTCCGTTGCAAATTATCGATCCTAACGTGTGTATTCGTTTGCTAATGAGACAAAAAAATATGACTCGACGATGTGATTACCTTTCGCAGATATACTCGATGACATTGCGATAGATCTTGCTTTCGATGATGTCCATTAACATAGTGCTCATCTTCTCAGATGTTACTCGCTTCTAGAGATCAATAAATTCTTTGACTGGCATATCACTTGGAAAGTCGCGGCAAATAATTGCAAGATCTCGTTGGGTCAAATTACGGCTGAGAACCACATATTGGCTGTTGATGCGAATCGTCTGTGGAATACCAAAGTAGCTCTGACTAATGTAGATCATACTCCATCCTTGTTTTTGGCCTCTGATGAAGTATTGACCGATTTGAGCTTGAGTCTTCTTTGGTTCGAGCACTAAATTATCAAATATAACGAGTTTGCTTGTCTCAATGTCATAATCGCTCATTGCTGGAACTACTCCATTTTCAAAATCTCGACGTCATCGATGGTATCCTTAAAATGATCGTAGAGCGTCTCATTCGTTTTCGTGCAGATGACGATCTTTGTAAAGCATTTGCTAAGCAGAGCGATGATATAGAGGATGGTGCTGGATTTTCCACTGCCCGATGGACTTGCTATGCAGAGCCTGAAAGGTAATTCAAAATGGTCATTATTTGGATATATCTTGAGCTTTTTTATCTATCGTTTCATAGAAGTTAATCATATTTCTGTGATTGTATATACAAGTAATCAAAATGTCTTCTCTTCCACCAACAACCAATAGTTCAGTCTTCAATAGCTCTTTATTCCTTGGATCAAATGATTACTTGATCATCGCCACCGCTGGCAAGAGATACCAGAAACTCGGTGGGACTGGAGTCTTCAGTTCATTGGCTGTAGCAGGTAATCTCGACTGTGGATCGTTGACGATTGCAGGAGCTGTTGTTGATCTCAGTTCACTATCAGGAGTCACAGCTGGCACAGTTACAGCATCCAAGTTATTTGTGGTCGATGCGAATTAAGATATCAGCTCATTTCGTAATTTGACGGCAGTAAATCTTACTGGAACTCTACTGACGGCAGCGCAACCGAATATCACGTCGATTGGAACATTGTCGTCTCTGAATGTGTCTGGAGGATTGACAGCATCTACGCTGACTGGAACGCTTAGCACAGCAGCTCAACATAATATTACATCGCTTGGAACTCTCACAACTGGATTGCAATCAACGATCAGCAACAACACAACTTCATTTGCAAGCTATGCGCGTTGGACAAACAGTCTTATTACGCCAATGAGCTGTGTGCTCGAAGTGTCAAAAATCGCGCCTAGGTTCGGAGCAATCTCGCAACATACTTTTCGTATCTATTCAGGCAATGCAATTGCAATGTGGATGGACGTTAGCCAGAACGTGAGAATTGGAACCGTAGCACCATCTGGAACGTATAAGTTAGAAGTAGATGGATCTATAAACGCTGACGCAATTAACATCAATGGAGTTGCAGTTGCTTTTCGGCTGATATAACATCTATCACCGGTATCACTGCGGGGATAGCTTCCGCAAACAAAGCTTTGGTTGCTGACAGTAGCCTAAATATCGCTGGAATAAACTCTCTCAACGCAACATCATTGACTGGAACTTTGCTTACTCCAGCTTAACCAAACATAACGAGCGTTGGTACATTATCTAGTTTGAATCTGTCGGGTTCAGGTATCACTCACACACAGAGTGCTGGAGGCAATGTTACTTTATTTGCTAACTCAACAGCTATAAGCACGCTCACCATCGGTATTGCAAGTGCTGGTGGCGCATGCGATATTCGATCAAGTACTGCAAGCGATCTATACCTGGATGCTAATAATACGAGAAGGCTCTCGATTAAAAGTGGAGGTAATGTCGGTATCAATACACTTCTCCAGGTTATCAACTTGATGTGAGCGGGTCTTTTAGTTCCACCAGCTTTTACATGAACAGAGCGCTTATCACAGCCTCGGCAACATATTTGAATGAAGTAACGGGGTATGGAACGTATCCGGCTTAGCAGGTGATGGAGGTTGAGGCGCTGGCTCATATGAAAAGTCGGGAGCTTCCTCGCTAACCTCTGATGCTGTGGATCTGTTTGCAATCTTGTTGTAGCTAGTATTGGCAGCAAACGTGCTATGGAGTAGCTTAGCGTGAAGGTCATGTTTTTCTCTATTAGTAAGCTTCGCATATGTTGGTGATTGGATCAGATGTGATTCAACAATGTGACGCATCATGTCCATTCTCATTGGCTTTCCATTGTATTTTACGAAGAGCTTTGAGAGAGCTGAACTGAATCCATTATTACTGTCATATTCGCCTGGACTATTGTTGTAAACACGCTAAAGTAGATATGTTGGTGTTTGCCCGAGAGAGCCTGAACAACGATCAATCTTATTGCTAATTCTTTAGCAATAAGATTGTTCGTTGTTCCATCTAGATCAATAATTTGCGCACCCATGAGGCGAACGTTCTTAAAAATTTTCGAGTAGAGCTTCGTTCCTTGGAGGTAGTTACCACCATCAACTCTCTTCAGATAGACTGAGGGCCATATGAGACGCAGAGAATAATTGACATTGAGATATAGTGTGACATAGTCAAAAATAAGGCGTAGATTATCAATTCGTTTCGCTTTGGTAAGTTTGCTTAGCTCATTGTTTGATAGGAACATTTCGCCATACGTATCCATGATAATCTTCTCGACTTTTTGTGGAACCGCTATCAGTTCTTGGTAGCTAATGTATTTCTTCTTTTCTTCAGGCGTGAGCTCATTATCCAATTTTTCCTCCTTATTCTGCTTGTTAAGTACCTTTCTCACTGCGTTATAGTATTGAAACGCGTCAGGAAATCGATTCTTCACCATCTTGCAAAGTGCATTCAAAGTTAGGATAAGACTCTCTTTGCTTTTGTAAAGACGTATCAATTCAGCAATCATGTCAGAGCTCTGAACACCATACACTTTCTGAAAATTTGCATCGTCCTGTTTGTTGGGATATTGAATACGAGCAATAAATTCCTTAGGATCCCATTGCATGGTCTCCTTCCCCGATTTGAACAATCGCAGGTTCATTGTGGCTTTGGATAGCCTGTCATTGCTCATTTCGAGATCGCGAATAATTGTTTGTTTTAGTTCATCTAGATTCTGAGTTTTGGATTTAAGCTTTGACATGTTGTTTATTTCGTGCTTATATGTAAGTTATCACAAATAACGCGATTGCTTCGAAATCTGCTAAGATGTATAAAGAGTTTCGTGTCAACCTTAGCCACGCGCAGGCCTTAAAGGTTTTGCATGGAAAGCCTGTTCGATTGACGCATGCGCAGCTCAATGCTGGTCCTACCCACTATTTTGGACCCGAGACGTATAAGAAGCTTGTCAAAGCGAATGAATCTGGTAAAGGAACGACTTTACATATGACTCACGGTGAAGGTTTACGTACGCATCAATCTGGACTCGATGGAAGTGGATTTTGGGGAGACTTATGGAATGGCGCGAAAGAAGCTGGAAAATCAATTTGGGGGTTTTGAAAAATAATTGGAAACCATTTGCAGGCTCTGTAATGGATACAGTTGCTGATATCACCGCACAAGAAACTGGTGGATTCAGTCACGAAATCCGTAAAGGAGTGAAGAAATTAACTGGGGCTGGCATGACTCAACCTCGTCGCAATCGTCGTATTGCTGCCTCGGCAAGCTTTCGACTTGGTTAAAGTCAATAGGAAAGAAGAATTTATAAGGCGTGGCTCCACTTTCTTTGTATCGCTTGAATGTGATACGCTTGTCCAACGTCGATATCTTCTCACAAAATTTTGATCGCTTATCAGGGACTTTACCAGATGTCTCACGCCACCTTTGATAATGCTGATACATAATATCTCTCCCCACGCAATATAGGCCTTTCGACTCACTGTGTACAATTCCATTTAGTCCAGATTCATTAACCCAATGAACGCCGTAATCTGTATAATACGTAATATGACATGATGCAGGTTTAAATGAATCAACAGCTTGGACGCGGCGTCGTTCAGGCTACTACACCGCATATATAAGTTTGTACAGACCACCATGGGAGTTTTTATCATTTTTGATCGGCGAGGGGGAGATAGAAAGGTACTATTCGAAACACATAGAAATCCAATATAAACGGCCTAGAGGTTTGAAAATTCTAATGCAAGCCCTTAAGCTCCTCTCTGCCCAAAACCTCCACCACTCAACCAAAAATGCCGGAAACGATCGACAGGAAGGAGTTCAAGCGTCTGTGGGGGTCGCTAAAAAAGGCTGGCTGGCGGGCAAGACCTCCTTCAGGTCCCCTCTCCGATCATGCGTATCTCAAGCCTGGCGTGAAAGGAAAGCTAGACAACTACAAGGCTGACACTGATTACTTTATCGGTACGTTGTGTTTAGCAGTAATAACTACTCCCTCTAACCCTGTGTGGTGTAGGTCCCAAGCCTTTGTGGAAGTATGCTCTGCGTGAGGGTCTAGTACCTTTCCCCCCTCAACAATGTATGACGGGGATGCTCTACAGTTCCAACGACTGTAATGCATAGAGCGAAGGGGGAGACAGAGCGTGTTGCGGTACCGTGCCCGCAGCTTGTGGTTGATTATCACCAAGGTATGGGGCGGAGTAGATCGCCATGATCAACTCCGCCTTCAGCGCTATTCAATCCAGCTTACTGTGGCCTTCAAAAAGTACTATCGGCAACTCTTCATGGGTTTTGTGGGACATGGCGATAGTCAACGGTTTTATTTTACATAAAATTATTCTCAAGCAAAAAGGGCTGCCAGTGCCAACACACGCGCAGTATATGCGCCGACTTCATACCGAGCTTTTGGCCACGAACGAAGCCACACTGCGTACATACACCAACGCCGAGGACCTCGTTTCTGAGCCTATTCACACGCAACCGCACAGACTGCGAAACAATGAGGAAAAATACAAAGGCAAGAAGCGAAAAAAACCCAGAGATGGATCAACCGCCAGCAACCTCCAGCGTAAAGGGCAGAAGCGTAAGGGCAAGCGCCGCCAGCACTTGTGCAAAGTTTGCTCAGCCTTGGCAACTCCCCAGACAAAGAGCTTTGAAACCAGTTACTACTGCGAGCAGTGCACATCCAACTTCGGAGGCTACGTACCTCTATGTAACAAGGTTCGCCACGAGGAAACCGGCAACACGCTCACATGCGGCCAAATATGGCATGATTTGTGGCGCAACGGCACTGCCATCCCTGCTCACCTCAAGAAGCGTATTCGCTTCCGCAAGCGAAAGAACTTCGAGATTTCGAGCGACAGCGACGACGGCGGCAGCGACGCGAATGATGATTGCGTGGATATCCAGGATAGCGAGTAACTAGGCGTAGATAATGCAGCCCGTACACTCACCAATTTGTCGGCCAGTTCTTGCCTAGTTCTTCTTCTACTCTTGCTAGTCTAGAACTGGCCGAAAATTTGGTGAGCGTACGGGTGACGTAGTGGCACGCTTCGCCAGTCATTTAGGCGCAAACGCAGATTGCCCAGACCCATCAGATTCAGCGGGATACTCGAAGTAGAAGGATATGCGACGAAAGTCACGTCACATTTGCCCAATGAAATCATGACATTTTACCAGCCGGTGGGCACATTGTTGTTTTTCTACGACAGATTGCAGTCTATATGTACCTGGTCGCAGCGTTTTCGCTACATCCCATTGCGGACGGCTTGCAATGCATTAAGTTTGCAAAAGTGGCAGCTATAGTTTAATAAAGATAATCATTTACTCTGTATTATACAGAATATCATGAAGCGGGCATTGTATTAAGTTCATTGACATAGTTGGCAATGCCCTCATTGCTAGCAGTTGTCATAGAATCATAGATAGGAGTTCGAAAGAAGGATTTTGGCTTGGGATTGGCAAACTGCTTCAAATATGTGTCGAATTTGCTCATCTCATTATCATTTTTGATCACATCATCAATCATCTTTCCATAATAAACCTTGTTGTGCTGTTCCGCTAGATTTACATCGAAAATTGCCATCTTGTCTTCGACGATGCCAATCAAGTTGTTGGAAGCACCAATAAATTCAGTGATGTTGCTATGTACTTCTTCTTCATGGTAAATTTGTTTTTGATTGTACGGACTCGGTGATAGCAGACTTCCTTCACTCAAGGCAATTACGAAACGAGCGCTTATCGCCAGCAATTTCCACAAACCAGCACAATTTTTTGTTTAAGTTGCGGCGATCCACGCTCGCCAAAGACATTAAGATGCTGAGTCATGTGAGTATTTGCTGTTCCCAGAAGACTAGTGAGGAGCTTGAAGAAATTAGACTTCCCAATTTGCTTCTCCATTGAACATAACACGAGCATAACCTTCGTCTTGTAGTCTGTATAGTGACAAAGGCTAACAATATACTTCATCAACCACTGGTACCTCTCAGGATGGTTGAAGCAAATGATACGCTTCAGGTAATCAATTAGCACTGGGTGCAAGTCAGATTCGGTAATTTCTTCGTGCAAATAAATCGCCAGTAGTGGATTTGCTAAGCTGAATGTCTCCATGTCATTTGGATCATGTTCCCATTTGCAGACAGTATTTGCACACTTGTGGAATGGAACCGTATTGAAAAGGTCAGACAGCTTGATGGAGCGTGGCTTTTTGCGCTCCATTTCTTCCTGTTTGACTTTAGTTTTTGGTCGGAGATTAGGAGATGTCTCATCTGGAGCAGGCGCATCACGTTTACGTCTCAAGAACGCTTTTGCGATTTAATGGCCTTATCGTCAATGTCTTCTTTAGTAGTCTTACGGTTATGCATAAATACCTTGCTTCTAAAGTCTTTTTTTTCGTCAAGTATTTTCGAATACGATCTTGAAAAGCTTCTTCCACATCCATTTTTTTCTTTCTTTTAGTGTACTCGAAGTTGTTCATATGATTCGTGAATTTTCGTCATTGAATATTTTCTCGAACGAGAAGCTCGGTGGAGCGTTCATGCTCCCGTCCGTATCAGTTTGCTGAGGGACATACTTATGAAGATGTGGATTCGGATTTGGTTTCTTTTGGTTAGGGTTTGGTTTCTTTTGGTGAGTCATGGAGCTTTCCTTCGTCACCCTTAACTACTGGAGGAGCCTTCTTCGTGAGCTTACTAGTGATCTGATCATAGTCATAATCTCGTGATTTGCCCATGACTTGTTGGCACAGAGTTGCCAAAGAATCGCTGCTAGCGAGGTCTAAAGCTTGCTGCTGAATCCTTGCTTTCAGCTTCGCGCCTTGGACAAAATCACTTTTGGTCATTGCATTGTAGTAGCGATCATACGCTTTTTGCTTAGTTTGATTATCAGTGAAGAACCCGCTCATTTGTGCCTGGATGCTATATTTGGCAAATAAAAAAATACTAATGGATAGCGGGTTGGCATTAAGTTTTCAACCGCGCCTAGAAAGACAGTGTCCATAGCAGTATCTACAGTTGCTACGACTTCACGTAGAATATGAGAATAAATCGTAAGCGCGTAGTTCGTGTTGTTCGTACCCGAAACAATGATCGACTTGCCTGCACCATCTTCGCTGGGTAGACGACGGCCAATGTCAACAGCAATGAATCGGTACAGTGATTCCCATAGACGCTGAGACAGTAAGCCAACATTAGTGACCTACCATCAACGCCAGATTTTGACATTTTTTGTACGAATAGATCGTAGCCGAAGTTGACAGGATTATTCCAAATTGGGACGTTAGGCATCGTTGAAAAGCAACTACGGAATAAATTGATCACATCTGGTAAAGAGCTTGATTCAGGGGTTACATTTGTAATAACAGGTTGCATAATCAATTTTTTCGGATTGGCAATACCATTCGTCACCGTCCATGTAAATAACGGACCGGCATGGGCAGTAAACTTGTTGGTTACACGTTCAATGTAACGGAACGTCTTCTTTTGGATGAGAGCGTTGTCAGCTGATTGATTTGGGCTATATGTTGGAGCAAGTTGACGAGAGAATGTCTGCGATGGAGCAATACCACTTCCCGAAGTTGCAGTACCATTAACATCGGCTGTGACTAACAAATGTGTTGATCCTGGAACAGCTAAACCACTTGATTCGCCAGTGTTGGTTGTATTTGCGGATGTACCATTCCATAGAATTGGGCAAGTGTTGCCGAAGTTCATATTACTGTTGATGCTAGCAATATTCGTTGCTGCAACCGTACCTGCTGATCCACCAGTGGGAATTGACGTAGCACAGCAGTTATAGTTGATATACATGAACCCCTTCTTGTTCCTTTGCATTGTACATTTCTTGAAGTAGTCGGATAAGCCAGAGAGCTTAAGGCAGGCTAAATAATGCGCTACGCTAAACGGAGCACCGGCAGCAACGGCGCCAGCTGGGCGCGACGTATACTTGCGGCTTTGACACAGCTTGGATATTGGCTTTATATCACATGATATCATATGCAAGGTTACCGCTGCTTTGATCAAGCGCAGTGAATAGCGATCGTTTGTACGCACCTCCATTCGAAAATGTGTTAAAAAGACCCCATTCGCCAGCGGTGCCGCTAATATAATTGGATGCTGCCATGTTGTCAAGATTTTGGGCGACTCCGGGAATTGGTAGACGATATTCATCTAGCACGAAGCTGCTCGTTGGTCCTCGTTTAATGTAGGAGTTGTAGTCCCATTCGGTTAGCGCCTTGAATGTAGCATTCACATTTTCATGAACTTGATTCGTCTGAACGGTCACGCCATCTACAACAGCTTGAACGGAATCAATGAATTGCCAGGCATCTGCCTTGGGAACAAGCTGATCAACGGTACAAGCAGCGGTCGAGGTAACAGAAGATTCTCCAGCATTGAGAATCTGAAGCTTGATTGGAAGATCAATGACAGCCTCTTCCCAGTTGACAAACGCATATTGAGAAGAGATCGTGGATAGGTTGAATTGAATTTGACCAGCGCCAGTGCTACTAGTCGAATCCAGAATCTAGGTCCATTTCTTATCACGGAAGAGCGTTTCAGCTGGAGCGGGTTCGACGGAGTGCTCGAAAGCAGAGATATCACTTGCGGTGGACATTGTATAGTACGAGATTGCTTTATATTGGGCAAGATATAGATCTTCAGAAAAAACACTATATGAGCGAAAAGAAAATTATTAAATTGTCTCGAACAACAGATGATCAACTAATGAAACTCGCTACTTCTTTTGGGGTAAAGGTAGATCAAATCGATTTCAAGCTAAATCTTGATAGAAGCACAGATTATGCAATAATCAATATGGGCAATCCAATTATCAGAGGCACACATTGGCCGGCAGTATCAAACAAAGACAAACGCTACTCCGATCCTCTAGGCCTTCCAAGACCACGCGTTATTCCTAAAGACTTTTCTTATCGCGAAATTGATATCCAAGACCCCCGATTCGGGCACTGTGATGGCTTCTGTATCTTATGGCTCTACTATTTGCAGCATGGAAAAGAAGACGAGTTTTACAAACTGCTCAAGCAGCTCGGATAATGGCATCTGTAATATAAACCATGCAAGAGTCAGGATATAAGTTCCGCGTTTCCAACGCGCGAGGGCAAAAAAATACGATGCGCTGCTCAGCGATGGCAGAGTCGTGTCGTTTGGAGCAATCAAGTCCAATGGTGAGCCCTATCAGCAATATCAAGATCGCACAAATTTAAAAGCATACCGTGACTATGATCACAAAGATACAAAGCGAAGAGAGCGATACTATAAGCGACATGGTCCGATTGATGATCAACATCCTTACACTCCCGGTTGGTTCTTACGCACTACTGAATTTTAATAACTACAATCACTCTGGTATCCCTCGTTTAAAGTGCCGATCGGGGACAATGTACGAGAATTCGCATTAGGATTACGTTAACTCGCGCGTTCTTTCTCTGAGCGTACGCTAGTGGACGGACTGCATGGATTATGTTACATCGTCCGCTCAACCTGTGCATAAAATGGCATCTAGAATACCCCTAGCCGCCCTTAGATACAGCGATGATGTACCATGTACATGTAGTACAGTATTAATACGTCACTTCACGCACGAATCGAATCTCTCAAGACACTCAAAGGAACATTATCATCTCATTGATCATCAGCGAGGTGATCAACTTGATCATCGAAGAGAATAGAACAGCATTAACTTCGTAAGACAAGTCCGTGCGCCTTGCACTAGTGTCAAGCTCATGGCCTTGCAAGAGATTTGCTTGAAAAGCCTAACGTAATTGTGCTCCAATAAAACAAGATTGTGCGCTAACCTATTTCATTTCGACGCTTTAACCATTTCCTAAAACTTAAAACACGAAACTTGTGAGACAGTGGAATGGGCAGACTGCTCATATCCGCAGTGCATTACCCATAAAAAGAATGGACACCTGACAGCAGGAGTCAAGTGCGCAGTTCTTCTCCACAGGAAAGCACAGAGACCGGACACAGCAGAGCCGATTCCACCCCACTCTCTATCGCTGGAAAACTGACGGCGGAGTGATCTTCTCGTAGCGGCTAAGTACTGGGCAAATAATAAGTAGCAGACAATATACACATCATCCGGCTCCCAGCACCTTACAGCTCGAGCTCCTTCACCGTTTCCCACGTATAGTCCGCGTCCTCAAGGCCGAAGTGGCCGTAGGCAGCGGTCTTCTGCATCACCGGGCGCTTCAGCTGCAGGGTCAAAAGCACCCGATGCTTGACAAATTGCGTGACTTTGGATTAGATCTGGAGAACATCGTGTACTACCGTGGAGAAATGCACTATCTGGTGATGATACCGAAACGTCAGAACTTAAGAGAGCTTCATGTGGTAAACGAAGACCACCTAAGCTCGACAGCTCTGGTCATGGACGACAACATCAACAACAGTGCATTGTATGAGTTTGTCAAGGGAATTGTCGACTTCGCTGGTATCCCGAGGAAAACAGACTTTACACGTGTCAGTCTCTTTGATTTCAGCTCTCTCACCCGTGCAGATAAGGCTGCGAGTATCCTCTCGTCGCATGGTAAGAAGCTTTACGTCAGTCTCATTGGAGACTCGTTGCACGAGCCCGTATGGCACGAGGGTGTGGGAACTTGCAGTGGCTTCTTGAGTGCGTGTGGATGGTGGCACAGATCGGCCGAGATCCCGATGAACAGCTTCTGGTCGACCGTGAAGCCGCATACCAAGTGACGATGCGAGTGTCGAGCAATCACCGTGAAGACTTGCAGAAGAATATACGCAAGCACACAGCTGATCCTAGATCGCGCTACACCGTCTAGTTGCATTGCAGGATTGAGTGTAGAATGTTGGATTGAGACTAAAATCATGTAGGAAGTGTTGTATTTGAGACCAAAATCAATTTAGTCCAGTACATAATTCGAAAATTACAGGTGGCCCGAATACTTTTTAATCATACTGAAATGCAGTCAATAATGGACGAGGACGAGGACACATACGGCTTCGGGACCTTCGCCGACCTGTTCGACACGGCGCCGGCGCAGGCCGCCAAGCGACTGGATCTTGGTGCGCTAAGTCGCTTCTGCATGCACGAGCGTCTGTTGTCGCGCTTCGAGCAGCAGCAACGAAGGGACCAGCACATCGTCCTGTACCAGCACGTGGCCGCCAAATTCGACGGTGCTCGAATCGACGGCGGTTTAGGCGCGTTGGTGTGTCACCACTCGAAAATGGCGGCATCGTGTGGCTACAGGCCACGCAGTCGGACTCGGACGCGCTGGAACGGCGCAAAAAGGAGCTACAGGACATCACGAACCGCCAGGACAAAGCAGATCACAAGTCGGCGGCCGCACTCTTCGTAGCCTTCAAGCATGTGGCAGCAGTGCAGCCCACTATAGTGCAAAACACAGTACAGGGTGTGGAAGTGAAGCTTAAGGATGGTAACCGCCTCGAACTTACCTTCTTGCCCGGACCTTTTGCAGGTCCCAAACATCGAGATGAATTTCTTGAGACTATGAAGAAACAGATGAGTAGTGGCAATAAAAACATACAAGAGACGGTCGATACTACAGCAACGCACACACCTAGTAGACGTAGTAACGCTACGTCGGAAACCAAGATGAACACTGCGAGTTCGAAGACAGGAAGAGTACTGTCAGCTTATTCGGAGATATACGAAGCTGGACCCGATGAGTGACGACGCATTTGCACTTGCCAAGCAGGTGCATGCAGGGACGGGCTATTACCTAGGACCCATGTCGAAACATACTCCGAAGCTCTCGGAAGACTCGGAATACCGCAAGAAAAACAATGCAGAAGCTGTCGGATGCTCTGATCGGATGAACCAGGAGTGGAGCGAGGCAGATACGCATCGGGAGCTGCATACGAAGACCAAATCGTCTAGAAATGAAGGCCATCTGTACGAGTACACAGACACAGTCACAGGTGCTCAGATCTCGACCCGGACGTATGAACAGCGATATCTCGAGTACGTCAAGGCGCACGACGTCAACCCGGTGATCCACATGTTTCCTGTTCAGGATAAACGAGTGAAGGGGGAGGAAGTGAAGGTATCGCATGAATATGGGTCGACAATATCGTCAGAGAACGCAAGATCGCTGTTCATGAAGTCTCTAGGAGTCGACATCAGCTCAAGTTGCATCATTGACAACGATTTCTTCTCACTAGGAGCAGATCATACGCTGTCCGATACGTCAGCGTACAGAAGTGAGGACTTGGTATTTCGAGCTGCAGTGGACAGTGCTCGGACGAGTTTTTGGAACAGTTGGGGGGCAGCGCTTGCTCAAGTTTCTGCCAATCGAGGTGGGCATGACCATTCCAAGAGCCAAACTCAGTCTACGAGTGGTGTTTCAGGTACGGATAAACGTCGTTTTGCCTCGATATCTAGTGACGCTAATGTGATGTGCTGCTTGTTAGGTCAATCATCTCGAAAAAGGCCTCGAGAAAGGAGACAGAGTCTCGTGTTGCCCACGTCGGATGATCTCCTGTCAACTGTTGCAAAGGGTGCGGATGCTACAGCTGCAGACGGCGGTGACTTGCATGAGTCACGAACGAAACGCAGTCGACCGACGGCGCAGAATTCTCGACGCAATGCTCGTAGAGCGAGTATCGTGAACACAGTGGAGTTCCCCTCGACTGAGGCAAGTGAAGCTAAGGATAAAGCGCCTGTTGGGAAACGCAAGACACCTCAAGCATCTCGCAAGTCTCCAAAATCAAGACAGGCTGCAAATGGCTACGCGCGTAAGACCAGCTCGCTTGAGATGGTGGGAGACGACGACTCGAGTTTGTGTAAACTCTGCTACAGCGAGGAAGCGCTGGTGCACATGAAACCGTGCGGCCACGCCGTGTGTAGCGCGTGCTGGTCGCGGCTGCCTGCTTCGTCCGGACAGAGTGATGCAGTATCCCGTCGCGTGTGTCCCTGGGACCGCGAGATAGTAGCGAAACGGTAGTGAGTGACAACAAGTTGCAGTGTTGAGTTGTGAAATGATGGGGGAGCAATGGTGACTCCTCGGCTACTGTATCGAAGGAAAGAAGCACAACGAAGCTGAACGTGAGTGGGTCCAGGTTGCTGTAGAAGGATGCAAGTGTGCTTATAAATCTTCGAACGGATACAGGCGAGGTGAAAGCGAGGCTTCGAGATGACGAACGAATTGAAGAGGAGTATGTCCTCTCACTGGCTAGGACACTGCCAGTGGCTACTGCTGCTGGTAAACTAAATGTACATTTCGACAACGGTTAGTAGCCAAATCTCGACTTCAGTTTATCGATCGAGAGTTTGTAGATCTTCAAATGCTGTTACAGCAAACTTGCCAGCCCCAATAAGGAGCGACACCATCTAATAGACGTCTTCGAACGTTTGTACAAACGCTAGTGAAGCACACCAGCGACGACAGTACCGCAGTATGGCAACACAGCGAAGACGATATCGTCTCAAACGGAGGCATCATTCGTTGCGCGACAGGAACAGAATCGGCAGTGATTACATGTAGTCAAATGAGGCTATAGTGCTGATCTAGCCAAGGAATTTTTACTGCTGCTTGACACGTCGATCGGATGCAGGCAGACCATTACCGTACTGTACAGTACATCATCGCTGTCTCTAAGGGCGGCTAGGGGTACTCTAGATGCCATTTTATGCACCGGTTGAGCGGACGATGTAACATAATCAATGCAGTCTGTCCACTAGCGTACGCTCAGAGAAAGAACGCGCGAGTTAGCGTAATCCTAATGTGAATTCTCGTACATTGTCCCCGATCGGCACTTTAACCCTTCTATTAATAGCCCGGTATTCTGTATCCTACAGAATAAGATGTTTAACAGGATTTAGTACCCAGCAAAGTTAGCTGCTGCCCCCAAGTCCGCATATGAGAATTTGTATACGTGGTAATCAGCAGATCCTTCCCGTTGGATTGGTGAAGGGTAGATAGACGGGGATTCTTCTGTGTGAGTAGAAAGACCAATATAAAATTAGAACAGGTTTGAAAATTAGAGTGAAAGCCCAAAACTGCCGCGTGGCAATCAGTCCCTCCCATTCGAAAATCATCTCTGAACAATGAACGGCCCCGGAGAGAAGACATTCAAGCAGCTGTGGCGGGAGTTATGCAAGGACGGATGGAAGCCCCGCAAACCCACGCGCATGGCCAAGCATCCCCGCTACGTGAAGCCAGGAATCAAGGGACGTCTTGATGAATCGAGACGCGGCATTGACTTTTTTTAGGGTACGTTGCAACGCTAACTGACTTAATAATGCTCAATACTTACAATGGTGTGTTTATCAGGCGAAGCTGAACTCATGGCGTTTGGACGTGCATCCGGTCGTCTCCAGCTTCCACTCCCAAGCGTGCGTGTTGGCCCTGCATATCCTCCGATTGGCGAGCAAGCATCGTACGAAGCTGTTGGGGAGGAACCTCCTCATGGCCATCCACCGCTCACCACTTCCGCGCCACCACCTTCCGTTACGGCGACTGAATCCGCCCAAGCTTCAGAAGTAAGTGCTCCTCAAGTCAGTGCACGTGTTCAACCTCCAGCGACCGCTCCGTTGACGCCGGAGGTGAATCCGGCAGGACTACAGCCATCGACTGAAGTTCAAGCTCAACTGGCTATAGCGGATGGTACAGAACAAGATGAAGCCTTGGAGGGCCACGACCTGGATAATGCAGAACATGGGGATACGGAGTTTACAGTCCCGGAGGATACAGAACAAGAAAGGAGAAATGAAGGCTCTGATACAGAATGGAACCCGCGAGAGAAATCGACGGAAGCAGATGAAGCAAAGAGCGAGAGTGACGACCCTGCGGATTATCGTGTAGATTTCGATGTCTTTGATAGCGACCACTTCATGGAGGGTCTCCGAAAAGAGCGATTGCTCGGCCCGACAGATGGTGATGATGTGAACGTGGTGGCTGGTCAAGATGCCAGCGACTCCGATTCAGACGCGGATAACGAAGACGTGATGAACGCCAACGAAGTGGTCCTTGAAGTAGAAGGTGTAGAAGATCTAGAAGACGTGTCTTTGAATGATGACATCCCCGAGGAAGGACTCTTTGACCTGACTAGTGGTGATTTGCGAGACATCGCGGAGAATGGATGGATTACTTATGCCGAAGCGGAAAGTGGTAAGCCGTATGATACAGATTAGTGTGTGGTGCAATTGTACTTATTCCGGATTGTGTGTTTACTACAGGGAATCTCCGGATGGACGCTGCAACGGACTATTACGACGGACCGTGCGGACCCACACGGTCTGCGGTCGCATACGCAGACTCTCCATTGACCATGTTCTTCTACTTTTTACCGAAGGAGCTATGGATTCGAGTTGCTGATGAGACGAACCGCTACCGAGAGCAGAATATTGGTGCTGTGGCATTATCTCGTCGAGCAAAGATGCTTGCTCGCCAAGCTGAGGATCCTCGCGTGAGTGTGCCCAACTTAGAAGATATCGAAGCCAAGTTGAGGAAATTCAAGCGTATTCAAGCTCATGAGATTTTGCACGTCGTGGTATTGCTCTTTGCACGAGCTGTCGCTCCGATTCGAGACGGGCTCTCCAACCACTGGAGAACTGAAGAAGATGGAGCCATTCCACGCGGGATGTTCTCTCGCTTCATGAAGCGCGATCGCTTTGAGGCGATCATGAAATTTCTGCACTTCAACAACAACGATGACGGTGGAGCGCATGCTGACAGAGCTTGAAAAATCCGTCCTGTGTTGCAAGCTGTTGAAAAAACATTTAAGCATATGAACAACTTTGGATGGCAAAATTTAGAAAAACAGCAGTAAATAAAAACAATGCGTTTGCGATAGATCAGCTGCGAAAAAAGAGTATCGAAAAGATAATAAAGAGGAATTCAAGGCCTACAATAAGGAATACTATAGGGAAAATAAGCAACGATGGGATGCAATTTCTAAAGCCCGACTCGCAGCTCGATCCAATTGTGAATGTGGTGGCAAATATTCTGCTGCAAATCACCATGTTCACGCTCGATCGAAGAAGCACAAGCGGTGGCTAGAAGAACAGAGTGCTTAGACTATGACATTTTTTTTTACTTTCTCCAGGTATATATAAACAGTCATGAATCACTCGCGTCAATCTTATCATAAAGATACCAGAAGTAATCGTCAGAAACGACGTGATGCCAATCACCAGCAGATGATACGAAATTTTGTGAATGCACTATGCGTGAAGGAGGCGCAACAACAACGAATTAAGGATCCAATTGCATATAATTTCAATACTTAAGATAGAATTGTTATGTGACCCTGGCAATTTGTTTTAGAGATATAGATACTAACAGTGTGTAGATAACCATGGAGGCCGATACGCGCTAAGCGTCACTCATAGAAACGACACATGAACAACATGAAGATAATTACATCGTTTCTACATTATCTTAAACATATTTCAGATAAATATACCTAGAAAGTGGACATTCAATACGTTGATACAGCTGATGAGGAGCCAGTCGTTATTGATGATAATGATAACAAAGTTTACACTCCAACAATCGCACCAATCAACGTGAAGCCATTTACATTCGACACTGATAAGTTGAGGTCTGATGCTAACATTCGAGAGAAGACCTTGAGTTTGGTGATGGCGAATATGAACCAGTCTTCGAAGTGAGGTATTTTTTTTACAAGAGCTGCAGGCGGTTCAATTCACTTTTGAGGGTTTCCAATCTATCAATCTTATCGGTGCTATCGCTCATAGTTGTAATCGCTCTGTTGCGATACACACTCTCAATATCACCAGGCAGAAACTCGCGATTGATGAGATTGAGTTGATTTTGAGATTTTAGAATTCGCTCTTGTTGAGATTCAATCATCTTTTCAATGCGCGTGAGCTCTCCGACAAAGTCAAAACCCTTAAATCCAGCGATCAAGCGGCTATATACTTCATATCAATAGCTGTCAATATAGTCTTGCATGGCTAGATTGTATATTCTAGAATATTTAGTCTGTATATATAAGTTCCTAAACATGACCTGAACCGGTTCCATGCACCGAACCGACGTAACATTAACTATTATGATCATGGTAGGTTTTATACACCATGTGGGACCGAGTTCCCAAGTTCCACAAAAAAACGCAGCACTGTCTATATGTTCTTTCTATACTACCCCTACCCCCTCTCTTTAAACTTTATACATTTAGATAAATAAGTATAAGAACTCGGAACCCGGAAGATGTCAATGTAACCACAGCCCTTCTATTTATTAAAATTTGGTTCCGAAAATTTTGGACCCAGGGTTCCCACAATTAATACATATAATTGCAATTCACTTTAGAAGCACTACAGCAGCTCTAGTAAGTACGGCATCATTTTGGAACCGGTTCGGAACGCGGTTTTCGAGCCACACCTACTCCGATGCAAGTTTGACTTCCATCGCAAACTGCTGTATCTTGCGCACGTTCACACAGCTTGGCGTCATCATCCTCTTGCGTTTTGAGTCCAAATACCTTTGATATTTGAAATCGGTGAATCTGTCAGGCGGAAGCACGAGGTACAGCCGCGGTGCTGCAGGATTTCCCAGAAGCTTCAACACATCGTGGAGACCTTTTTGCTTGCAGGGGTGTTTGTGTGCACCTGTCACCTGCAACAAAATATCCGGCTTGATGATCGCATCGACCGACTGGTAATTCTTCACCGCTGGCTGTAGGTAACTCGTGCTAGCAGCAGCGACAATTTCACTGCCATGATTGAAAACGACAACTTTCTCGAATCTTTGAAAAGAAATGACAGTTGCGGCGCCATCGTCAACCAACGCCACAGCAGTGGATTCTTCCATCGCAACGGCATCATCTGCATTCATGCCATCATCACCATCCTCGTCATCGCCGTCCCATTCATCTTCCATAAGGTCATCATCATCATCATCGTACGCCTCGTTGTTTTCGACCAAACGTCGAACTTTAAACGTTCCACCTCGCGGCAGTACCGAATGCACATGCCCTTCGAACAAGTGGCCACGAAAGAGCACCAACTCCATCCGAGGCAGCAATGAACTCTAGCAGCTTCCGCTTATCCTTCTTGTACAGCCGATTGTACACCGCTTGCTGAACATATTGCGATGCAAAAGCGAAGTACTCGCTGTCAAAAGCTTTGCTGACGCGATAGTGCAGCAATCGATGCGACACTTGAGCGTCGTTCGCATCAAGTTGACTACAGGCGTTCACCAACCAGTCGAGATTAACAATGTTCATTGCTTTTTCAAGCAACACCTGCTGATCACCAACTTGTGAAAATCGCAAGACATAGCGAGCAATACCACCCCATCGACGAAAGCACTTCTGCACGACGTCCACAGGTGTATCCGAGTACATCAGCTTACGACATTGTAGAATCTCCTTCAAAGACCACACTGGCATGTAGCAGGACTGGCAATTGGTCTTGTTGAACTCGTACCAGATGGAGCGGCGCGGCGACGTCAAAAGAATCGTCTTCGCTGGGTAATACGCAGGCTTGACGGCATCCACGATGTAGTATGTAGTCGGCTGGTCGAGAATGTGCACAAAATCTTCCTGCGATCCTTGAGCCACCACATTGTGAGCAAATAAAAAGCGCTTCTTGAGGCCACCACTCTCATATACCACCGTTGCACCAGCACGGGCAAGAATAAGCACGATCACAAAGCCGAAAAACGTCTTGCCGATTCCCGGGGTGCCGAGGATCACGAGATGCGGTGTGTTCTTCTTTTCATCATGGATCCTCTCGTGACAAAGTTTCCATAGCGCAGGGTAGCAATGACGAATGTAGATACGAGAGCCGAGTGTCGAATCACCAAGAAGATACGTGTCTCGGGGTAACTCGACCAATGCGTCAGCCTTCACGTCGGTACTGTCGTTCAGAAATGCTTTCCTAAATGCGACCAGTGCTGGCGGATTGAACGACATACTTTGCGTGATTGGGATAGGAACGTCGCCCACAACAAGATGACGATCTCGAGGCAGCTCAGCTTCCGACAATTGTGGAAGTTCCACCAGCACGTGAATCTCTTCATCTCCCGGCGTGAAACTCGGCCCAAACAACTCCATTTTGTTGAGCTTCCACGACGGACGCATCTTGTTATAACCAGTGCTGATGCCACCTTGCAAGAAGCTTTCCGTGTTGCGGTCGTCCGCCAACCAAACGGTTTCCCCTTCCTTTCGCGCCAAGTAGAGCGTCAAGTCGCTTGCGGCAAACTTATAACGCTCGCTGTATCGTTTCTCCGCGAATATAGCTTTTTGTAGCGCCTCCACATCTGCATTGCGCTTGATCTCGACGGAGAAGACGCTCCCATCGCCGTACACACCGCAGCGCAGCTTCACATCCGTCTCCTCTGTCATGCTCCTGTGCTTTCTCTTAGACAGTTCTCGACTGAGAAGCGGCACACATTCACGCGACATGTGGCTCATTTTTAACCAATCCGATCACTCCAAAATAATTATTTTTATTTCTGACAAATATATTCCTCAATATATAGAAACTAATTAATAGTGAGTTCATCTTGAGCGATAAAAAATAAATATATAGAAATAACAATGTGTAAGTACATCTTCCCAGAAAACCACCCAAAGGCGAGCCAACAGTGCGGCTCAAAAGGCGATTGGTGCCGACACCACGCAAAGTATCAGCCAGCAGTTGCTGAACCAACGATGACCAAGTCTATTGAAGAAATTTATGGTAAGCATTGTATTCAGCACATGAAATCTGTCGATAAATACGATCAGCCCAAGTTGGGGGATTCACGAGTTTTATCACCAAGTGATTGGATCAAGTCGAAGATGCACGAAGTTGGTGATTCCGCTGATTACAAGCATAGCGATGATGTCACGCCTGACTTTGGCAACAACGTATACTGTGACGGGGTTACACAGCACCTTGCGCTAGAGGAAGTTTTCTTCCGAGAGTATACAAACTCTCAGTAAACGGCAGTTCACAGGTCTCCTCTTTATTTAAAAGAGAGCGAAGTGACCTAATTAAGGTAGAATGTAAACTGAGTATATTTATAGGTAGATAAAGCTTGGGCTTAAATACAAACTATAAGTCACCTATAGAAATGCAATGTCGTTTGACCCATGATTGGCTTTGAACGACCTTGGTACATGTACCTTGTACCTAAGTGTGAAGTGTCATACTTCATGTAACCAGGGTACACTTAGGGTTACGTACCCCGCTACATCCTCCCCCACTTAGGTTCGGTTTACCGACCAATCAGAATGAAGATGTGTTCGTCACAAACTCTCATTCTCAAAGTCGAAAACCATCGACTTGGCCGCGCGAGCGCGGCGGAGGCTCACTTCACAGTTAGAGCCTCGAGCAGCAATCTGTGCGCTCTTCTTTTAGGTCTCCACTTCGACCGTTTATCACGCCTCGTGGCACTGCAAAGAGCGGTGCGAAGACACGCTCCAAGGCTGCTGCCGGAAAGGCGCAAGCCAAGAGCACTAAGCCTCACGGCAAAGGCTCGGCACTGAAGGAGGCTACTCAGGTGGCCTCCGAGGCGATCGGTTCCTCTGGTGACGCGGCTGTGAGCAAGCGAGCAAGCAAGGGCCGCAGACCGTCGCCCTCGGCCTCTCCGGACAACCGTCCGAACCCTCGGTTCGTAGAACGTGAGTTCGACTCTGGCGGTG